TGTTCTACTCTGCGCATCTTGATCGACTTGGTTCAAAAGAAATGACATTCCACCGCAAACATGATGCTCATAATTTGCGTCGCTCCGGTAGTCGAGAGCAGCGGTAGTAGACGTGAGAGGGAAGCACAGCACAGCAATGACAGCATCGCGGACCCAATCAACCAAATGTCCCAATTTGGATCGGCGTATGGCACCAGCCGTTTGGTGCTTCTGAAAAGTCGGAAACTGTTGGAGCCGCCCCGGCCGTACGCAGAAATAGGGGGCGGAGCATACAATTGTTATTTTCGACTGACGGGCGGACTGCGGGAGAATACCCGAAGTCACCTATTTGTGGGCCATGCCTGCGCTCGAGTCGTGTCGGCATCAAGCACTTGGCAAATCTCCCTGGCCCACCGCCCCACAATCACGGTCTGGAAGGCTTTCGCCCGGGCTTTCAAGTTGCGTTGCTTGGAATATCAAGGGGTATCCCACTTGGATTTCCAGTAATATTCGAGGGACGTGCATTCTCATCTCGACGTCAACTAGATGTTCCGTGATCATGACCGATTTTGAAAGCTATGTTCGAATCTTCTGCCGCCTTCATGGGAAATCCTCGACTTCAGATTACTCGAAATCACCTAGATCTCCCCGTTCTCCATGTATGGGTACAGCCCCGCGGGTATATATTCTCTTCCCTGACCATCTCCCCCCCGGGAAGCAACATTCGACATATGGACTCCGCCACATCCCTGGATCTCAACACCACTATCGGTGCACATGAAATAATCTATTGTTGTTGGTTAACGCTCTTTCCAGGTGCCTTGCAAATCGGTGCATTGGTCTCATACGTGCTCTTCGGAGTGACGACAACCCAGATGTATATTTATTACAGCCGCTTCCCAGAAGAATCTCTCAAGCTCAGGGCTCTGGTGTGTGCAACCACGAAATACTGAGTAGATGACTGACTATCTTGCCGGATTCGTGCACAGGTTGGTTTTGTCTGGTACGCTGTCCATACCATGCCAGACCATATCTATACAACTGAGGGGTCACTTATAAACAGGGTATGTGAACTCGCGCACGCGCTGTGCATCGGTCACGCGCTTTACGTGTATACAATCTCTGACTATACGCACTCGGAACGTCTCCTTGGCGCTGCCCCCAAATCCTCCGGGACTTCCACTCTCTTCTCCGGCCTCATCGCGGCATGCGGTATGTTCTCCTTACCCATGCGAAACGCTCACACATGCCCCCACCACAGTACAAGGGTTCTTCTCTTTCCGAATCTATTGTCTTTCCAAACAATTGTATATCTCTATCCTCATCTGGGCAATGGTCTTCTTCCGCCTGCTGGGGAACATCATGCTCTTTAGCACTGCATTAGAGATGAAATCAATGGCCGGCTACGTATTGCAGTGGGAGTGGCTGCCGCCCTCCGTCTGGAGCCTCAGCGCTGCGAACGATTTGACGATCACGGCAACGTTGGTGCTCCTGCTCTACACACGACGTCCCGGCGTGCACCGAAGGTACACTTTTCAATCAATTCAGGGCTACCACTTATGCGACTCAGAACCGCGGCCCTGCTGGATAAACTCATATTGTGGACCATAGGCTCGTCAAATCCTGTGTACTACATCTTGGTTACGCTCACAAAATTCATGCCGCAGAGACTGGGATGTTGACTAGGTGAGATCTTTGATGTCCGATCTGCCGCACCTCGTTTTAAACCTACTTCAGTGCATCGTCCATCATTACATTGAGCTGTGTAAGTGATTTCATTGCACATGTATTGATGTTTAATCCTATGATTTTTAGTTTGTCACAATGAAAACAAATTGTAAGCGAGGGAGACATGGTGGATGTAATAAAAGATCTAATATTTGCAGTTATCTGGATGGCGGTGTTTGTGGTCGACGTGCGGCGTGAGTATGGCTCAATTTGCACCTAGGCTCATAGATTTCACTAACACCAACATACAAGTGTTCTCAAACTCCCTTCTCGCAAGGTCAGCGGTCCCCAGCAGTCAAGTTTTGTCGCTTAATGTGTACGTTATATACGCAGTCTGAATTCCAGGGCCACCCTTCGTGCGATGAACGAAGTTTCCTTTCAATTTTCAACACCTATAGCGAGTCTTGAGTCTTTTGGCTTCTGTCCTCTCTCTGCTGACGGAAACGCAGATCGAGTTGGCGTCAAACAACATGCAGATGACGAAAGCCGGGGAGATTGCAGATGACGCCGACGTAGCCCGTGTCCACGGCCAATGCGATAAAGAAGCGTCCGAAGATGTCTGATCCAGAGTTGCGACCAGCTATGAGCTATGTACTTAATATGATTCAACTTACGAGCGAGCTGGATTCACAGCGACGTGGCGATCAGGCTTATTTCATATGTTTAATGTTCAGAAATACTCGCAATTCAACGGCTCACTGCGGGATACACCGTGGGACTTTCGGAGCAATCCCTTCCTACAACAATCCTACAATATATCAAGGGAGGAACGACCCTCAAACGAGTGCAAATTTGTTGTAGCGTCTATTTATGTAAGCCCCTCGGCAGTACAATGTGTTCTGCTGCCACCTAGCCAGACCTAACATTAGTTTGGCTAGCTGATCGGGGGTCTGTGTAGCCCAAGCGTAGTTGACTACGCTTGGACTATGCAGACCTACAAAGACTCTGTGTAGTTGACTACACAGACCTATGCAGACCTACGCAGATCCCCGATCAGCTGGGAAGACTCAGCCTAGGTGGCAGCGGAACGCAGTGTAGTGGTTGGCATCTTTCGGCATCGACTGGTTTTTTTTTTTTTTTTTTTTTTTTTTTTTTTTTTTTTGGTGGTACGATGTCGGCCGGGGACAATTAACAATAGGTTAGCCTCCCACGGTCGCGTAAAAGTGGAGGAAACGCGCCCTCCGAGAGATTCAGGTCCACCCCGAGGAAATGCATTACGCACTAGGTACGAAGCATTCGTCAGTGTGGGGCTCAACGCGCATCATCTATTACGGCCTCGCCGACCAGCGGGCGGGGACGGAGGCCTACGCGACCTCATCGGCGTTATACCCACTAAAACCCCGGGTTCTCGAAGCCAGTCTTTTGGCATTTCATCTTCGTCTAGCAAAGTTCCGCTCCAGGTATCACGGACGAGGGCAGGGTCCACAGAATGTCTTCCAAACTTCAGTTTATTTGCCTGGTTTACATCGATGTTCAGCCTCTCGTTTAATACACTGACCCACCTATTATGGACCTCGTTTACATTTGGGGCAACACCTCCTTTTTTTATTACGCTGTCGCATCGTGCCTTCCATATAGCAAACATTGACTCTGTTATAAGAATTTTATACAGCCTTGTCAGTCCTGGCTGTGGCTTACCATTGTCATCTTTGAAGATCGCCATGCCGCACCCGAGTGCGGCCCCCATTGATAAGGTAGGCCACTCCGTATGTTTCTTCCGCCACAGTTCTTCTGCCAGTGCCCATATCTGGGATTGGCCTGGGCTTTGACATTCAAAGAGGATATGTTCAAGGCTCTCTAACTCACCACAGTGAGCGCAGTTTGCCCTTTCTTCACACTCGGGTATATGGGTCCAGTATTTTCCCAGACGGTGAGCACTGTGCATGCTTTTCCAGAGAAAGTTCCTCACATTCCGGCTTATATCTTTCTGCCTTATTGATGCCCAAATGGCGGAAGGCTTTGGCGAGTTACCAAAATTTTCTTTCAGCGCCTCTTGGATTTTCTTAACGTTTTCCTCTGTCGCTTTCCTCGAGACAGGGTCATTCAATTCCTTTATCCCCTTGTATGATATTGATTGGGTCATTGAGGATAATTTTGCACCTGCAAGACGCTCTCCTGGACTTATGTGGAGATAAAAGGGGTCTGTCCCCTCTTTGACTAGTGCCGTACGTGCAAGGGAGGTGGCATTCTCGATTCCTCGACTGGTTATTTTCATTTCATTGGAATCCGGTGGCGGCTGAACTCATCGACATCCGACGTCTCTCTCTTTATAAAATTACCCATGTGTGAAGCCTTTAAACTCCTCTTTTGGGAGATCATTTCCGGTTCTTTGGAGGATCAGCCTTAAACTTAGCATAGCTTCAAGCGCTCATGATTTAACCGAAGTGCGGCCCACCGCGCTATTTTAACACTATCACTTATTAGTGGACGAAACCGAATAAAATCGCTGTATAAAGGCTGAAAATTCAGGAAGTAGCCGAACTCGCGTCGAATCTCCATGTTGACAGTTATCTTGTTCCGGATGTTGCAAAACTGAATTTGTGAAAAACTTTAATTTGGGGTCCGCCTCCGAAGTGGCCGATCAATACCACGTAACTATGATTTGTCTGTGTACCAAATCGCAGTGCAGTCTGACTCTCCATAAAATGTCGCCTACATTATCTAATATGCCTGCTCGCAAAGTTACAGTGCCCGCCATCGCCGACGCAAGGAGGTGAAAAGAAGGGCAAGATGCAACACTCCGATCAGTGCCTGCTACATTGTAACTTTCCCGCCGCCCAGACTGGCACTTCCCGAGATGCACAATATGTCTTTTAAACCAAATTACATTGAAGGAGCCATGTGTTTCTTAACAGTTCAATCCAGCTGTATATTTCGAACAGCTGCGTCGAACCGTACGTTTTGAACACTTCGTATCATTCCAACTGTCCACGCCCTTGATGTCGACTGGACAGTTTCGTACGGTTAAGTGAAATGATTTGGGTGTCTTTTGTACACCATTAACATCGGGCTTCACCAGGGATGTTGAACATGGCCCAGATCCCCAAATCATTTCAACGATGTAAAACGAACATTCTGCCTGGCAATTCTGGAAGGAGTGAGATCAAGCCAAAGTTTGATGGTGTGTTCTTTTACCGGACTGTTACGAAGCCTGTGAAGAAAGGAACTCATATAGATAGGAGTTGAGCTTGCATTAAACCAGGATGCTTGGTCGACTTGGTTGGCTTGAGTACTTGCCATTGAAATGCAGAGAAGATTTGAGTCTGCCAAAAAAAAATGTTCCGAATATCGCATGACCTGACCCGGATTCGAACCAGGGTTTTCTGGTTATAGTGCACGATAGTAATACTAAAAGATTCACCAACCAGCTGTACTATCAGGTCATTCCCAATATTGGTTGTCTAGGTAATTCTGATTGGGATGCGGAGAAGATTCGAGTCTGCAAAAATTAATAAAAAGATATACCTAAAGTTACATGACCTGACCTGGAGTTGAACTGGGGTCTTCTGGCATTACTATCTGTGACTGCCAACCTGGCCGGACTAGGAACCTGGCCACTTGCCAATTATAAGCCTAGTTACTTAGCCATATGTTATTTTGGTCAATGGGGGGTAGAATACAACCTATGCCGCCTGTCCTTGCCAATTTTCAGCTGAAAGTGATGAGTTGATGTTAAGCGGTGTCGCGAATGATGTCCAGCCGCAGGGTGGGAATATTAATTTCTTATCCCCGAATCGCCGTTTCGTTCCTTCCTCCACCAGTTCTTCGTCAATTCGCAACTTCATAAGCTCTTTCTTCTCCCTTGACTGCGCGCTTCGCACTGAGCATACAGCAAGCTTTATATCACCCCTCAGTCGCCGTTGAGCTCGCGAAAATGATGGCTATTCCAGGATGGGGACAGCAATTGAACAATGTTCATATCAAATGGGCCTTTGACCTTCAGAGTCCAGCAATTGGTAACGACAATCTTCATATATATAAAGCTTAAATTTCGGTCATATTCTGCAATTTTATTTGCTTGATACCTCCTTCAGTGCGTGCCGAACTGTAGATCGGCCTAATTTTCGTCGTATCAAGATATAAACGTCGGGTTCTCAGGAGCATGACACAAGAGTGGATTAGGGTATCCAAATGTGCTCATTTACTTCTTATTAACATTATGGTAACTTATTTTGGCTAACCAAGACCTCTGACTGGCGCGCCGGCCTCGTTTCTTTGACACAATTGATCCCTGCAACCCAGAAGCACTTTGCCCCATCGTTTTTAGAGGTCTTTTGTATCGTGGTAGCTTCTAAAAATGGTCTTTTGTGACCATTGAGCATCATTATACACTGCGAGACCAACACCGGAGTCCGAAATGGCCGTTTGGACGGGTGGCCAGGTAGGTGGTCAATTCCCTTTTTGGGAACTCCGACAGAATAAATTCACCGAGCCATGAAGACATACCCAAAATGGCGCCAACTGGGCTCAATCTGTTCCCAGGATGCACGCCTGTCATTTGGGGTCGATACTCCCAGGATGAACTGGTAAAGACGGCTATTAACAGGCTGAAACCTCTAAGGTGGCCAGGTTCCCAGTCACAAATAGTAGCATTCTTGGAACTACTAGCAGATGCACTAACCAACTACATATACTATCAGGTCATTTATCCCTTGCCAACGTTGGTAGCTTGAATACCTGCGAGTGGGATGTGCGGAAGATTCAAGTAAAATAAAAAAACTGTTTGAGAGGTAAAAACCAAGGTAGAAAGCATGACCTGACCAGGATTCGAACCAGGGTCTTCCGAATGCTTAGAATAGGGTTGTTAATAGTAGTCTTTTTCCCTCCCTTTTTTCTCCCTTTGTGTATTCCCACCGTTTTTCCCCCCCCCTCCTTTTTTCCATCTGACATGTAAAAAGGGTAGAAAAGGGCAAAACCCAAGTTCCTAGCTCAAAACAGAAGTCCATAAAAAAAAGGGAGCAAAAAAGGGCCAAAAGAGTCTATTGTGAACGCACTGGTTTGGAGCTCCCTTTTTGCACTCCTTTTCCTCGAGGTATGTATATTGTGCATGAGTACCGCGCCCTAAATGTCCTAGCACCTCTTTTGAAAGTTACTTCCGAATCCAACTCTCATTCGGCAACGACCGAGATTGCATAACACTGATTACTCTTGATGCACGTGTTCATGCCCCTCCACAGGCGGAACTTCTATAACGAGGTGAGTAGATATGTAGCAGGAAAGTGGGAGCAGGAAAAGGGGGTAAAAAAGGGAGCAAAAAAAGGGCAACCGTGCATAACCTTAGTGGTTCTCTCTAGTCTACCGGGCGTAATCTAAAGATAGTTGTTCAGATCACATACTTATACTAAGTAGAGAGACTGGAGTTAACGAGTAGGGCGAGCACAAGTTAGTCTCATGGACAGCATGTTCCTACCCAGCTGCGTTTCCGAGGTTCATCAGAGTAGGAATACGATTCAAATAAATACAGAGAAATTGACTGACCATGTAACCGTGATGTTACAGAGTCACAAGTAACTTGACAAGTTGAGGGGCTAGAACCTCGGAAAACGCGGCTGGGTAGTGGACAGACACTCTACATATGAAGATCGTACCTCGCTTGTTAGAAACACGAGTTCACCTCGGAGTTTGAAATTGAATCGCCTTAGCAACCGCTGAAAAGAAATGTTCAGAGCTCCTTCATTACCTGCGATAAAACCCACATAGACCGGTGACCGTCTGTCTATGAATACTGTCGATAGACAGACCAGTTGATCTGAGTTTGAATTCCCGATACGGGTGGGATACCATAAAAGGCTATTTGTAAGCAACCATCAAATTCTTTTGGACTGCACTTGTGCTATCGGAATCCATGAGATTAAACCATAAGCAGTCATTGAATGGCCCATTGAGTGTCTGTGCTTCATCCGAGAGAGAAATAACATGTAATTGGGTTGATGTACATTTTTTGTTAAGTTGTTATTGTTTGGATCGGATGTCACCCCACCAAATCTGCTTACAAATAGGCCTTTTTGGGAATTGATCGCGCGTTACGACATTTCAAACTCCGATCGACCAGCCTGTCTATCGACACAGTTAAATTTCAATAGACAGGCTGGATTCGAGCCTAAAACCCACGGAAATTTTCTGAGTGCCTCATATTGATTGAAATTTGTATCTGAAAAAAGAATGGCTTCATTCAGTGCTTTTGGAGGTGCGTAGGACATGCCATCATAAGTTTCAAACTCCGAGGCGACTTGTACTAAGCTGTACTCTTAAATCCTAGTCTAGACAGTGGTGTCAATTTGAGAGGGGGGATACGGCGAATTCTTTGCTTGCCGCACTCTGAGCGGACTTTTGGGATGTGATGTTGGTACATAATATGGATGACTCAACCTCGAGACCATCGGCCGACAGCCGCGCATTTTGTTGCTCTGTTAAAACCGCAGACTTCTCTTCGTACTTTTCTTGTTTGCATTCCTCTTTCGGTACTTATCTCCATGCCGCGTCTCCCTACGTCACTGCCATCGTCCTCCTTCCCGTCATCTGAAGACGCAACAAACACCATCGAAACCTTACGGTTTGCGAGTGCTGCTGCTGAGCCTGACTGCACTTTTTTTTTTTTTTTTTTTTTTGTGTCTTCCGTGGCACTGCGGGCATTTAAGAATGTAAATCATGGTCCTCGGAGGATTTGGCGCGTATTTCACATGTCAAGGGACCGTGGGGAGAGTGGGAATCAATGTGTGTTTCTGACAGAGCCTGAGCTGATGCGTAACTCATGTAAGTCACCTCAGCACATGACTACAGACCCGGTAGTTTACATACTGTGAATATCAAGTTGTTTTTAGCCAAGAAACCGTTAGTGGGCTTTGCCGCGACAGCGCACTACTGGGATTATTTGGATAATACAATGAGATGAACCTTCAGTTTCCGACATCTGGAAAACAGGAGCTACCTGTATAGTGCTATGTAGCACTGCATAGCTCCATAGCGCCCATAGGTACATCCCCTCTATGCAGTGCTATGGAGCACTATGCAGCAGGCCTGCCATCACTATACAGCACCATGGAGTGCTATGCAGCTCCGGCTAGCTGCTTATCTCCACATCTGCTTACACTCCTCATTCTGCTCGCTCCTTACACTTCCACTTGCATCTGCCAATAGAATAGGGAAAAGGTATTGTCATTGCTACACTAATACAGGAAATATAGCACTAGATACAGCTTGACAGGTGTCCCCGAACCATCCATCTGGCACTCTGCTGCACCAATCCCCTTGATATTTGCACAGTAAAATCTGTGTGTGTGTGCTTGTCCATTGCAGTCACAAACACCTCTGTCCATGTGGGTAAGAGCTTTGCCATGGGTGAGCAAGGAAGGCGTACACACTGGGTCCGCGCTATGAACTGTGTGTGAATGCTGAAATTGCAGAGCGACCTTAATGTTGGATTAAAGATCAAGCCGCCATCAATGGATTTATGATCCGCCCGTTCTTGCTGATCAATCCCGAGGTTGAACTTACCAAGCCCACCGTAGCTTACTCAGTTATATAGAAGGTTGTAGTATATCTTGTAGAGTATAAAAGCCTAGTAGTTAGGCCCTAATGATTATTCCATTCCTATTTGATTCATTTCTCTAATACTTAACTGGTTGTATGTCTGTGGTGCGGGTCAGCCAGGAAGATCGGAGGTGATCTGGAGAAAGGGACACACCCCACTATAAAGATGCGTGGCAGCGACATTGTTGTCACCAGACTCTGCCAGCGCTGTGAGCGCAAGCAGTTACGCGGACTGCCCCGATGCAGTGGCTACAGCTGCCACGCCGTCCTCCAGCGCTGCCACACGCTTCTCAAACGTAGGATATCCTACATGCTCATCATTGCTCACAAATCAGAAGGTAGGACAGCAAAATGGGATGTACAACGGTGGGTTGCTGATCCACAAGTAGACATTCCCATCGTGGAGTGCAAAGAGGTCAGCACTGTGCCCAACGAGAAGCTTGCTGTTGAGCATATTGGCACCGCATGCACGTTGGTTGCCGAGTTGACTGTCTGCCCTTCCCGACCCCCTACAGATGACGCCGATGGCCAAGAAAGATGTTGTGCGCAGAGACGGCCAATGATTATATGACCTGTTTGATGTGCAGACCAAACCCACTCACCTACTGTTACATTATTAATGCCAGATTGAATGACTCGAAGATAAGGAATGATGTGAAGACAACTTACTTGGGCAAGAACACAAAATAATTCCAGCTTTGTCTAGCTCGCTGCGCCGTACACTGTTGGCCGTAATCGGGAATGCTAGAAGTTGAGAAGACACAGTTAGATAGATTGGAGGACTCAAAAGTGAACGTACTTTGGCAAGAACCTGACGAATCTGACCACTTCATCTGCAGCGTCGTGGCTCTCT